TTGCCTGTGACAAGCCGTCACTCTATCTTGGTTGAGCTTTATAGCACCAGTCAAAGCAATCAGAGAAGATTGAAGTGACAGAGGCCCACTGAGTAAATAGTGAAACATGCAGCACATCATGAAATATTCAGCCAGGGTGTAAAAGCTCTAAATGCTTTTTCAATTATTAGCACCTGCACTGGCTGCTTACATCTAACACTAACAGCATGTTAATTGCCACAATTTGTTAGGGTAGTTGTAGGAGAAATTTTAAAGACATGAGACATTCTCTAGTGTCTTCAATTCCTATTTTACCTTCAGCAAACCCTCTTCTTCCTCCTAAAATTAAGTATGTGTGTACACATTCTTGCAAAGATACATCCACATAACTCAGGTAGGAAAACTCAAAATTCCTGAACCACAGGCAGCGTGAGTTTCAAGACCCTGAATCTTGAGCAGAAGACTGCTAAACATCTTTTTGTGCACAAAATCCAGATACATTATATCTACCTGAGAAAGGCATAATTGCAGACTTTAACAAACACAGATTAGAGAGAAGTTGTGTTTTTTTCCCAGGTGTGTTTTGCTCTTGACTTTATGTAAGGAGAATTTTGTTGTAGGGCAGAATAAAAAGAAGCTAAAACCTTGTCTTACTAATATGTAAAGACTATCAGACTACAGTTTATTTTTAAACAGCACCAGGGTCCTCCCTACTGGTTGTATAGTTTTCTTGTTCTCAGTGCTCAGCACATTGAGTAGTTCCACTGCAGGTCAGTGAGGGTATGTTGCTCATTGCATATAAATAGCAAGAGGGTTAAGACAAGGGTGACAAAATACAAGGTTTTGCTAAACAATAGTAATTTAATGAGGCGGCCGTTTTAGTCTGGAATGGTCTTTTCAGTTCTGTCCATCCCCAGTCAGTACTCAAAAGTTTCAGGCTCAAAAACTCCAATTTTGGAGTAGTTATAAATGTGTTCTAGGAAAACAGTTCTCTTTAAAATGTATTGCTGACTTCCTTGCAGTAGGTTTGCTGGCAATGGGATTTATGGTTTTGCTTTAGGCTGTTTTCTTCCAGGCAGGCTTTTTGGGGTTGCAGCTGTAGCATGGCATTTAGCGTCGTTTTCAAGTTTAATTGCACATAAGTGGCATTATATGCTCTTCAGAACCTTGAAAAGATGGTACTTTGCTCTTCATTTTAAGTCATGCGTATGTAATATCTGCCATAAGAACCAGGGAAGCTATTTTTAAACTGATGTTGTGGATGAAGGAACATTAACTTTTCTTCCTTTCCTCCCATACAGGCTACACATGCCTGTCTTTTCCTAGATGGAATGACCAAATGCTTTGGTCATTACAAACAACAAAAACTATCATCTCAATTAAAACAAAGAGTATGTATTAAATTGTTAGGTGTTTTTCTGCCTATGATTTGAATTTTTGAAGCAGATGACTTTACAGCCTGGGAGACCATAATAATTCAGCACAAATATAAGCATTTCTACAGTAGCCTGCCAGTGTGACTCAAGTACAGCTTGACAGGACCATCTTCAAGGGTGAGGAGGCAGAGAGGCTCTAGAAACATTCAGTCCATGATTTGGCTGTAAGGGCAACAACTGTAATGCTTTGTGTAATATAAATTTTAATGGGAAGAGGGTGTCCAAACGCCTTAGGCAGATTTGACAGCCTTGGCCTCTCTGTATGTCTGTCTTAATTAATTTTTAGTATTTGCCAAACAGGTTTAGATCATCCGATTAATGAGGATGTATGTGTCCAAAGTAGTAATACTATTTTATTACTGTTCTGATCAATTCCGTTTTTAAATACATAAGTACATATCTTCTAACATCTGAGGACAAAGTTGGACCTTAGTAGCAAAGAGTTTTCAACCTCCATAGACATCTTAAGGAATCACTTTACTGAGAATGAATGAGAGAGATTAAAATAATATCTTAGCCCAGAAGACTTAAATTTAATAAACACACTTACGTGTAAAACCCCACAGATTCTGAAACACAGTGTGGTTAAGTCTTATCACAGTTTCCTCAGGCAATAATCCATTCTCCTAGAGTAGAAGTACTACAGTAGTATCTCTTAGCATACTTTCCTGTTGTGTGTCCCATCCTGTTTGCTTCCTTTAAGTTTCCCCTTGCTATACTCCAAGCAGTGAAACAGAGTCCAAACAGTTTATGATATGTGAATAGGTGCATGTATTGATTAAAAAAAAAAAAAACAAAAAAAAAAACAACAACAAAAAAAAGTGAAGCTTTTTTCAAAAAAATCACAATTTGTTACCTAAAACTTCAACAGGGAGTTATATCTGACAATTCATAGTCTTTTTTCTTTCCATAGCCCACTTATGTTTAAATCTAAGATATTCTAGTAAACCTTTGCCACAAACTGCTTTGAATATTCCTTTCAGAATGCAGAGCCCAAAAGAACTATACTAGGCTTTGAGCACTCATACTCTAAAAACTGCCTCAAACCTCAAGGCATTTGACCATAATTAGATGTCAAATGTCTGTTACCACCTGCTTTGTTATAACATTCATTTCAGTTTGTATCATTTTTGTGAATTGTTTTTGTGACTGGGATTGGAGTATTGCTAAGTACTCTGTGTTAAAGCTTCAGATGATCTATTTAGTTTTATATCTCAGAGCAGAAAAGAAACACTGATTAGAAAATTAGAATGAGGCATTTTTTTAAATTGCTTTGTTATAGTTTCTCTGATGAAGGATGGTGGAAAAAGAAAATTCCTTATTATCTGCATTTGATTTCTGAAAGGAAAAGAAGGTGATTTCATCAGTGAACTTTGCTTTTGTTTCAATGCTCTTCTAGGAAAACTCATGAAGAAACGTTTTGTGAAAGTATTGGGGGTAAAAAAGCATAAACCCTGAAGCAACAGAAAGAAAAACATTTCTCAGTGGAAACTCCTGAAGATTCCTAATCTTTTGGCAAACTTTCTTATTTTTGAACATATAGCTGACCTATTCCATTGGAAAAAATAGCTAGGACAGGGCACCACTAAGTGTTGTCTGAACATTAGGACAACCTTCGAATGTTACTGTGTTCACAGTTGCAGACCTTATTGTACCACATGCAACTATGAGGAGATGGGGAATGCCCAATAAACAGTATCACAGTTAGCTCTCAGTCCAAACTACCATGGCTGCAGATTGCTGATGAATGGAGTAAGAGAATGTAGCGTCTAGATATTTTTCCAGAAATTAAAAGAAAAAAAAAAAGGAAAACACAACAAAAAACTCAACCAAACCCTCACAATAGACCCCTTTGGTACAGCTTTTTCATCTCGGCTTCCTACAAGAGAGATAGCACACTTATGCAAGGCTGTCATTATTAAACCTGGAGTAGGGTCAGAGACTCCAGGTAATCCCCTAGATGCTTCTCTGCTGCCAGTTTCAACTTTGAAAACATAGTGTTTCTTTTTTCCGGATGAGTCTGACTTATGCCTTTGCCATGTAGTGCATTGATTGTCTTAAAGCATCAAAAGATTCTTGTTTAAGTGGAACATTGTATTAATAGTTTCTCAACTTTTTTGAGGAACTTTCTTTGGAGTTGACCCTGTTTGAATGAAATGTGTGAGAATCTTACAGTGATTTCGATGGGTCTGTAATCAGTGATTATAAAATTACACTAATTAATCACCTTGACGGAATGCAAGATTATACCTTTCTCAGGCATGCAAATATAACTGTTGGTTGCATGGTAATTTACCGTACTATATTCAGGGTAAATTAACCTATATCATACACTGTGTTCACAGTCTGCTTTAGTAGATGATACAGAATAGAGGTTCTTACCACAGTATGCTGGCTCAAATGCTTTAAAAGCAGAAAACTTTGCAGTTTTAAGAGCTCAGACAATATGAGCATTTCTTTAACAGTCTTTAAAAGGCAAACTTCTTAAAAATTTGGATACCTGTCTCAGAGTACTTAGCATATTCCTACATTGCAGATATTTTCTTCCTTGAAATGTTACAATTCTATATCAGCATATTTCAAGCATTCATGATAAAAACCTGAGGTAAAGACTGTGGCTTTCCAGACAAAACTCAATTCCCTCCTTAAATGTAAGATCTGAGGATCGGTTTAACCTGTGCCTTGTGAACACAATTCTCCTAATGCTATTGTATAATGCAGTCACTTTGAGGTCCTCACTACTATCCAAGAGTGTTGGAGTCACTTAGTACTTAGCTTAATGTTTGATTTTAGCATATAAATTAAAGAACCTGTATGTATCTGTGCTTAGATGTAGCTATATAGCTGGAAAGCAAGTTTATAAAAATGTCTTTCATTTGCTTCCCCTTTGAGAAGCCGCGTGCTTTAAAATCTTGCAGCAAAAACACTTAGAAGGTTATCACAGGTAGAGTTGTCAGAGCAAATGGACATTGTTGTTTGGTATTAAAATCATGTATTCCAGATGTGGGCATTTGTTAGTCGGTCTGCTCCAAAATGACATACTGTTGAATCTTTAAAGGGCTTCAGTTTGGGAAAGGAAAATATGATTGGGCAAATTGCTAAAATATTTAAAGTGCAGCCTGTTAAAGCTTTTACTGTGAAGAGCATCACGTCAGAAGTTGTATGTGGTAAAAGCAAGTAATTGGCTTTCCATACTTATGCCAGTCAGTCAGCATGGGGCTCTGTTCCTATCCCTTCTACTTCATTGCAGATGCCTATAGCAGCTCTGATATTTATTTCAGAGGGATAGGCCTGGAAAGAAAAAAAACAACTTTTATGGATCATGATGGTGTCAGAAAATCCTATTTAAAATTAAATGGTTATTGGTATAGAAAGAGTATAGAAAATCTTTGAAACTGCACCCAAAATATAAAAATTAACTATTCAGTTTTTGTTTAAAAATGTCCTCAATGAAAGCATGTTAAAGTGCAAATACATTTCATTTCTTTACTTTTATCCCTCTTCATACACAGCTCTTGGGATATTTTTCCATCCATAATTCATAATATTTTCCATTTATGTTGTCCTCAACTTGTTTTTCCCCAGGCATGACCCCTTGTTAATTCCTGGCAACGAGCAGATTGACAATATGGATGCCAACGTGAAAAAATATGACTCTACAGGGATGTTTCATTGGTGTCCAGCCAAGGACATTGAAAAGGTCATTTTGGTAGGTATTGATGATAAATTGTGTTTCAAAAGAGATTAGTTGAACCACAGAACTGGAGTCTAATGGATTAATAAATTAGTCTCTACTATTATGTAATCCAGCATATTGAAATCAGAAGCACAGCATAGTGAAACCAAAGCTAGCATTTTGGTTAAAGCTTTATGATTACATAAATCTTTATGCCATGTGCAATAATAAAAATTTGTCCAAAATAGAGAGTTCCTTTTTCATAAGCTGAAATTTGCATATCTGTTTTAAATCTTTAGAGAATTAAGATAGGAAATATGTAAATGGGATTTACATGCCCCATTTATCTTTTTACAGAAGTCAGTATTGATTCTAATACAGGCAAGTGTTGGTTTGCATTGTCTCTTATTTATTGATGTTTTACTAATTATTATAATTGATTATTTATTAATTTTGCTCTCTTAGAACTTCTTTCTCAATTCCCAATATTTCAAGATGCCCAAATAGGCCAGAGCAAGTAGTGCTACTACTCTGACTTTCTAGCATGTTAAAGTGAGCCTATTCTATGTTTGTTTCATTTTATTAACTGGGAAAATCATCGAACTGACTCAAGTCATTAAAAGTAATTAGAAGGCCTATCACAGTCTGTTTTGCAAGTTTGTGCCATTTGTGTTCATGTTCTCATACCTAAGAGTAGCAAGCAACTAACTCCAGATCTCGTACACAAAACTGATTATATTTGAAATGAACTCCCTGGTGGATCTTCACTTTGTCGCACTTCATAAAGCTTTTCCCGAGCCTGCTCTGTTAGATTTCCCTGCACTGTGGCATGGTGTAGGCAACGATGGTGACAGCCCCAGTTATTCTGTTGGGGGTTAAAAGCTTGTCTCTAGTTCTCTTCAGGGGTTTCTGTAATAACTGTGACATTGCCTGGAATTACAATATTGGTGTCTAAACAGTCAAGCAAGTAAATTCCAAATTCTAGAGATGGAGCTCTGAGATGGAGTTTTAAATAGTATGCATTTATATGTAATCAACAAGCAAGCAGGGGCAACCCTGCTGTACAATACTTTGTAATAGACAGAGATAGAAATCTGCCTTCATGCTATAAAGCACATTTTAGCTGACAAACTTTACATGTAGTCCCACTTAGAAAAGTGGTCCTTCAAAAATGGTACCGAGGAGTGCATCATTCATCATCTCTCCATTATACCATGTTAGTTTTTTGTACTACCAACCTGTGAATCTGCAAGTCCATCCAAGTTCTTTCTGCTTCATGCATCATCACCAATAAAGCCACTACCAGCAAAATGCTTCCCTACACCTTTTCAAACTCACAGTCCACAATTTATGTCTACATTCATATCCATGCAAATTTTATACTGTCCTTAGAGACCACACAAGTACAAATTAGTGCATAATTTGAAGATGATGGGATTTCCCAGGTTGTCTCCTAATTGATACTTGATGATGCCTCAATCAGAAAATAATTAATTTTTCTGCCCAAGGTCTCTTTTGACTTTGTGGCGTTCCAGCAATAACTTGTATCAAGGAGGATTTTTTGCTATACAGTCAAATGTACATACAGATCAGTGACTATAGACTGACATTTTTTGCATAATTGCATTCAAGACTTATTCTCTGTCTTGTAAAATCTGGGTATTCCAGACCTTTTGGCAGAGGCATGGGACAACTTACATAGTTCACTTGAGCATTTGTTCATGTCTTCTGTTTGAAGGGCCAAGACAACTCTCTTGGTCAAGCTGTATGAAAATCAGCATAATTGCCCTGGAGAAATTGAAAGTTCGTGCATTTTTTAACTGATGAGAAAACTTCTAATCAGAGTTCCCATTCTTCTTGCATAGTGAGCATATCTGCTCCATATTCCAATCTGTATTGCAAATCACCATGCTTCCATAATTTAGAAAAAGGACATATACTATGGATAAGTAAGAGGAAAATTTTACAGTTCACCACTGGCTTAGTTTTATTCATTGGCAAAACTTCTGTCTAATGGTAGTGAGTGTAAAACTTCTTGGCAATATGATATCAGTGGATCTCCAGCTACTTGAAGGCGTACTACAATGCTAAGACTGGCTTCAGAACTTAAGGTCATTTTTTTCTCATGATTTTATTTAGTCATCTTGGTGTTTGAGTTGCATGCTCGACTGACCTAACAAATGATGAAATTAGTGCAAAAATTTATTCTTGTCATTGAGACAAGAAGATAATTCTGGACATCTTTTAAATATTCTCCATTAGTCCTTTTTGCTTCTATCTGTTCAACAACTCAGGAAGTCCCATTGGGCTGAAAATTTAATATTGGTCACAACCTTGCACTACTTTTTTCTTACTGAGAGGAGCTCTGTGAAGTATAGTGGGCATATATAGTAAAACAGAGCACTGTGGAGCATTCTTTGGTTGCTTCTCAGGGTAACAGCAGCTTGTCCTAAAATAAGAACTTTGTCTGTAAGAGGCTATGGTCCGCAATTCACAAGATCTGGGTAATACCACGAAGCGCTACTATGACCATTGGGCTTTCACATTTTCCTTTTCAAATTGGTCCTGAAAAAACTCAACTAGTGATTCATCAGCTAGGGTGTGGGTTTGCATCTCTTTTCTATAATCCTTCTATTGGTTAAATATGTAGTAGGTCAAATTCTGTTTTTAGCTAAACCCATAGTGCTTTGATTATAACCAGAGCCACAATCCATATGTGTAGAAACTTACACGGGACCAGAATTTGGTTCAATACAATGTCTTCCCAAATGCCAAAAGATTTGCAAACAAGAATGACATTTTCTTCTTCTGAACACATTTAATGAAGGATAAATAAGGGTAAAATGAACAGGTGTTATCAAACTGCTTCTTTGTGCATGAACAATATTGACAGTTGTATTTTTTCCTGGTTTTAAACTCAATATATGATTTAAGATTCCCTTTGTTTCATTTTTCCCTTGTCTTTTGTTTTGTTTTGTTTGTTTTTTTTTTTAGACTCGAAGTGAAGCAGCGATGACAGTTTTAAGTGGGCATGTAGTCGTTTGCATATTTGGGGATGTTAAATCTGCTTTGATTGGATTAAGAAATTTAGTGATGCCATTACGAGCCAGCAACTTTCACTACCATGAACTCAAGCACATTGTGTTTGTGGGTTCACTTGAATACCTGAGAAGGGAATGGGAGACACTGCATAACTTCCCCAAGGTTTCAATCTTGCCTGTAAGTTCAAAAGCCGTATTATTGATACTTTGTTATTTAGGACACCAACTGGACAGATTCGTATTGACTTTGATCTTAGTCTTTTCTACTTTTGTCTACTTATAGGCCTGAGGACTTAGCTTTTTGCCTTTACTTGTCTATGAAAACAGAGCCCTGTGAGACCTTATTAGAAGATATTTGCCGTAGTGTTTGGTTCCTTGTCATCCTCATCGGATGAATTTCAGCTGCTATCAGATGTATTGGCTGTGTTATGTATTGAACATTGACTGCAGTGCACTGCATGTAGCCAGTTCTGATGTGATTTCCCTGACAGAATGACAGTAGTTATTTATGACATTATTTATGTATTTTTACCCACAAAACTTTTGGAAAAAATATAGTTTATCTACATAATATCTATCTGTATTCTTAAACACTTTGGTGGACTGGCCTGCTTTATGAGGAACAGTGCCATAGCATTTCAGTTCAGAGTCCTGCTGTACTCATGTATGAAAGTGTACAACAAAACCCTGACCCTTTTTAAATCGATGGAAAACTCCTATTGATTTTAGTAGGCCCAACCACTAAAACCACAGTTCAAAAGTCCTTTTTCTCCTAGATATTGTTATCATTCACTCATGTGCCCAAAACGTAGAATCAAGAGCTCCAGGACTAATAATGAAACCCTCCAAGCTAGTGATCTTAAGTGGCCCCAGCTATAAATGACAGGCAGGAGGGAAACCAGCTCATGGTATAAGTATGAAAGAGAATGCTCTGTATGTTACAGAGTAAAGTTAATTTAGATAGTTTTTTTTCCAGAATGAAAAAAATATGAGTTTACTAGTTCTTAATAATTATGTTTCAGCAGTAAAAACAAATAAATCAATGATGGATGTAACCTTAACTGAATAATTGGAAAAATAGCTGTAGAATGAAAGGACTGTCTTCACTTTTTGATTAATTCAGACTGCAGGTCTTTGTTACTGTAAATGCAGTTTTAGTGTTAGCCCTTGGCTTTTTTCTGTAACCTGATCCAAGAGATGGTGTCAGAAGATTCTCTGCTGTCACAAAAATAGTGTCAATATCAGATTTGGTTAGTTAATATCTTCCTCCTTCTGCCAATCCCTTTTAATTCCAGTCACTGTGAAGGCTAAAGACTACGGAATCGGAATACTGTTGAACTATGGAGCAGAATATAATCCAGCTACTACTTCCAATATATAATATGTATCCATTATTATAATGCATTTTGTAAAGTTTCCATTCTGACTTCTGAAGAGGCATTAAGGAAATATACACCACCTTTACTTTCCCCAGTTTACACCCAAATGTAGAATAGTTTCAGACTAATTTTGACTTAAACAGCTTAAATAATTAGTCAATGCCTCCTTAAAAATACAGAATTATATAAAGGAATTGTATCTGACACAGTAATCAAGGGTGCTGAAGACCACACAGACTTCATTACTGCTTTTTCCAGTTTTTTTTCCTCGGCCTATCTGGTTCAAAATAAAATGGTATAAATTTACAAATAACAGCATTATTCTGATCTAATTCTACTAATTAAATAATCTACTAAAATTTCTGAGATTATACTGGTAGGAACCATGTTAAAGGGAGGTCACTCAAACTCACTTCCTGCTTCTCTGTGCTTTGGTTCACGAGGTAAAACTTGCTGCTGATATCTGATGAAGATGTGGTTACAGCTGAATATAAAAAAAATTTGTTCTGGTTTGAAAAAAAAAAGTGGACATGTAATTTGAAGTCTGTATTAAAGGAGGCCTTTAAGCTGCTGAGTAAACTCTTAAAAAGTAGGCAAATGCCAATTTTAAATATCCTCAGGCAGCCTTAATTCTGTCCCTTTGCATAAAATCATTAAGACTAAGCCTTTAATTAATTACATGATTGCATATTATTTTTCCCCACAGGAATCCTGCTTCACTTGGTGCACAGTACAGACACAAAGGGCAGGATTAAGGTGGCAGGAATAATCATATCCAAACTTTTGAGTAGTTTGTAATGAAATCATATGTGTTTGATATATACTGTTTTTCACAAGGTTTTGTGCCTTAAATTATTGAAAGTAGCTTGGAATAATTAAGCTGGTATCTGAGACTATATGGCAGTCACTGAATAAGAATTGAGCTCCTTCTTCACTGTGTGCATTCTAAATTCACTGTTGCATTGAATACTCTCAGTGGAGTTCAGGAGATGTTCACCATGAATGATCAGGGGATGGAAGAGTAGGGTCTTGACTTGGCTCTATGAAAGTCGCTGTGTGAGAAGGGGACAGTTATGTCTCCTCATCATTAGGGTCTTTGGGTACCAAACCATGTGAGGCAGCAAAGCAGAATCTAGTTTCCATTAAAAAACCCCCTCTTTTTTCCTTGGAATTTGCAGCCCCCGTGACACAGAGTTAATATTCTGTAACTACAGTTGTGGACTGTTGGGTGTGAAAGGCAAGTGCTATCTTTGAACAAAACATATCATGTTAGGTGTCATATCTCAGTTTTGTTAACTATGAAAAAAAATCCATGGACTACCACAACATTTCATTTTAACAATTGCGTTCTCTGATTGAGAATTGTGGAGCAGGGAACGTTTCATGACTTGTGCCCACTAGGATAAAGTCTTGTTTCTGTTTCAAAGGGTTTAATCACACAGCTTTGAAGATCAGTGTGTTTTCCTTCTAGAAGCACCAAAAGCATGCTTCGAAAAGGATTAACCTTTTCTGTGTATTGCTTTAGGTAGAAAAAAATGGCTTTATCCTGATTGCATTTCAATTGTGTAGGACACATAATGCTTTCCTGTTTAAATTGCCCTTCTTTTGCCCAAGACCATTGTGACTTGGTAGGAGATAAATAGACATTTAAAACAACCCCCTTCTTATATTCAGAGAGCCAGAGGTTGCCACATGATAGCAACTTAAATCAAGACAATTTCAAGTCACCGATGAGATGTAGAATGCTGGCATTATTCCTGTTTCTTGTTTGTTAGTAATAGCTTGACTGAGTATTGAGACTGAACCTAAAATGCTGCCATCAGCACCAACTACCCTTTAGATTAGCACACATCTCCTATTCCCTGGCACATAGTTAGACCAGCTTAATGTCAGAGCATAAAAAAGATACTTGTTAAATAATTTCCCAAAGCTCCTTCTCAATCTTTAATTTGTTTTTCTTTTTTTCCCCTCTTCTCCACCCCCCCTTTTTTTTTTTTCTCCCTGCCGAAGGGTACACCATTAAGTCGGGCTGATTTAAGGGCTGTCAACATCAACCTCTGCGACATGTGCGTTATCCTGTCAGCCAATCAGAATAATATTGATGATGCTTCGCTGCAGGACAAGGAATGCATCTTGGCGTCACTCAACATCAAATCTATGCAGTTTGATGACAGCATTGGGGTCTTGCAGGCTAATTCCCAAGGTAAGGACTGCCCTATAATACTTCTCTGCAGTGCCTACAGGGGACAGGACCTGGCAGGAAGAATATCCCTCACTCAGTAATTCAAAGAGCCCTACATCAGCTTGCTTGACAGTTAAACCTGCTGATTGGTATGATGGCTTTTAAAGGGACAGTCACACAGCTTCTCTGCTACATCACAAAGCACATTTTTTAGAGAAAGAATGAATGAACATGAAACTGGCGTTTTTTCTCATTTTGACATTTTCCTAGAAAATACATAAATTCACCACTTTCTCACTATGGCTTTCTTACATGGGCAGTTGCTGTTATATAGCCAATGATAACTTACACTCGCTTTGGAATACCTGAAGTTTCTGTCTAATGAGATTTTTTTTTTATGTAAAACACATTGCAACCACAGAGAAAATAGAAGTTTGAGTAATACAAGCCAAAAAAATAAAATAAAAAGGACAAGAATTTTAAATTTTCTTTACAGCTCTGGTGCCTTCTTGCTCAAGAAGCCATTTAGAATTAATTCAAAACTGATTTCTTCCCATGGTTTTGACATGTACTTATCCCGTTTAAGGATGCTAAAGAAAATCCTTCAGTCTTTTCTGAGAGTAGGGGACTGATTCATAGGTAGCCAAAGGCTATTTTACACCATCAGTGCCTGTGCAAAGCAGCTGCAAAGCAGTCATAAGCACCCTGGCAAAGACCATCAGTTTAAGAACAATCATCTTCCCATCCCTGAAGGGTCTTGCAGCTTATGCAGCTCAAGTCCTACCTTTGATAAACCTATTAACTGCTGCAGTAAATATTCCCACTGGATCTAGCTCTTCTATAAATGTAGGTGTAGAAAGGGTAGTGCTTTGGTCTGCAGTTTGCCCGTGAGCCTGACCTAGAGATAGTTTTCCCTCAAGGACTGTGAGAACTAAGATTAAGTTCAGGTTTTCCTCTTTACATTCTAATAAGGAAATAGGAATTATGAACCAAAAATCAGAGGCAGCAGTGTAACTTCTTGAGTATGGAAACTTGAACTTGGAAAATTCTTTCTTAGACTCAGCAATAAAACAGTGTAATTTAATGCTGAAATTAAATTCTATCATGAAACTGAAAGTTTTAATTTTTCAAAGTCAAATTGGAGAGTTCTCTGGATAAAAAGTAGATTTAAGAAGAAGAGAAAGGAACTGGTTTTTTTCAATCCTGTGGTTGTTCAAAGTTTTAAGTCTGTGGCCTGAAAGCAGTACAACTCCAAATATTTTAGAGTTTTTCCTCATAAATTTGTGAGACTGACTTGCTCACAGTATAATAACTTATAGTCATGATTAGGAAACTCACTGCTGAAGTGGAAGACAGTCATGCAGGTTCCCTGTTTTGCTGATTTAGACCTGGAATTTGAAATTCTGTATCTCAAAACCAAATCTCTACTTTCACTGCCAGGCTAGTGGCTAGTGGCTGTTCTTTGTCTCCTATCACACATATAATTAAACTAATCAAAAAATAGAATCTGCTCTTGAGCATGAGCAGTCTGAGAGAATTTCCTTCTGTCTTTAGTCAGAGCTTAGAGACATTTCCAGCACTTGACTGTTGTGTTTTACCTCTGGGAGTACCCAGGATCTTAGACCATCCCTCAATGAGAATGGAAAAATCTAACAATATGGGTCTTATGCACTCCATGAACACCTGTCATTTTTCACTCTCCATCCTTAGAGGTATTCAACACCTGACTGCATAAAGCCTCAAAGAAGCTGATCTGACCTTACAGCTGATCCTGCTTTGAACAGGAAAGCAGACTAGAGCTCCTCCGATGTCTCTTCCAAGCTGAATTGTTTTATGAATCTGTAATACCCAGATTGCTGCTACAGCAATAGCCCTATAGGTCAGGAAGTGTACACAGCCCTATAGGTCAGGAAGTGTACACTGGCCATGGTCCAAATCCCTTTAGGCCTATTCACAGTGTTACCAATGCAGAGAAGCAGAGGCACAATACGTTAGCACATTCTAAGAAATTTTCTTCAGGTAAGTACCAGTCTGCACATTAAAAAACAAAGGTGACTCTTTCTGTAGCTTTTCTGGGGAAACAGGGCATAACATAAGGCACAAACTAGCAGCCTATTTTAGTTGAGAGCACTGACTAAGGAGGGGTTCCTGTAAGCCCAGTGGCTTCAGAAGATAATTACCTTCCCAGTACATTCTCTGCTTATGATATCCACAACTCCTGAATTGGTTGTGTTCCTTTCAGTGCAGTAAATTTTCTTGAAAGACCTTGAATACAATGATTAGACTGTCAGAAGCAGTTAGATCATTAGATAGCACAAACTTTATGGAAATTATATGCAATGTGACATTTTTGTTTGTGAAATGCATCTTTAACATATGGTGGACACAACTATCATGACAATTATATAAACTAGGTGATTCAACTTTTGCTAGTCAACAAGCAGCATGCTAGAAACAGCCTCACAGCTTCTTACAAGCAATTAAGTACTTTTGTTTACAGAGAGAATTGTCATTTTACATTTGTACATTCCTTAACATAATTATCCTAAACACATTAGCTGGTACAAACCTTAAGTATTGTCAACCTGTGTTTTTCTAGATCTTAGTGTATGATTTTGAATTAAGACATCAACACTATCCTTTGAATCTTTATGTTACTCCTGTTACTGATCATCAGAAACATGGATGTTAGAAAATCTGGGTGTGTGGCAGAATGTCAGTTGACCTGTGACAGGGTCTTGAAAAGAGAAGAAACAAAACAAAATATGTGAGCAATCTGAGAAATGTATGGGATAAACAGCAAGATTTTTGGTGAGGGATTTAGCAGTATAATCTTACCTTTGCTATTCTAAGTAAATATGTAGTATTGTATATGTATAATTATGTAGTCACTACACAGTGGAATCTCATATGAAAACGTGATATATTATTTATGTTTATGTCTTTGAAAAGAAAAAAAATAGTCATTTAATTGATAGATTACTGAGTGCATAAGGATCTTCCCAGTTTGTACCTGTGATTATTTCACTCCAGCATGAGGCAAAAGATGACACCGGTATAAGAAGTGTGCCATAAAAAGCAGGATGCAAGTCTATTTAACCATCAGATAAGCCATAATCATTCCCCAGTGCTGAAGTACAGGGCTCTGTCTATAACTCCTTTGCTCTAAGTTGGTAGCAGAAAAAGAATCCACAGATCCAGGGATTTCATTCGCTTTTTCCCAGAGCCTCACCCTCATCACCTACTTTAACATGGAAGTCACTACCAGTCATAGGTATTAATCACCAGCCAACCCTCTGTATCCATCCAAACATACCCTTTCCAACCAAGGACATGTCTTTGAAATGGAACTCAGGTGCAATCTGAGAGGAAAGATCTTGTAGAAGGAAGAGGAGAGTGGATGCATGAAAGCAAACCTTCCTGATAGAGATAGTTCTGTAACAATAGGGCTGCCAGTACCCAATGGATTAAGTTATCTGCTGAAAAAACATCTTTGAAATAATCTGGTTTATATCATCAAAGGATTTTCTCATTACTAGTTCAAGTTGAACTTAATACACACACAGGTCATACAGAAACAAAGACTTGATAATACCTCCTTCTGTAATAAAATATCCCCAGGTTTTTGGGCTGGGTAGGATTAATTATCTAGGCTTTCTGTAAGTAATGCAACAACACTTTTGACCTCTGGCCTGACTGTCTTGAGTCATAACTGATACTGCCAAAATTGCATCTTATCTAAGCAAAGTACTCCACCTTGATCTCCTACAGAAGAAAAATCCAACTCAGTGTTCCAAGACACAGGAAAAAAACAATATTCTGGACCAGAGCTACAAAGGACCCTGGAGTACCCAGAGCAGATGTCATCTAAATTGTCAAATCTATGTTCATCATCAGCTGTCTAGGAACATACAACCAAACACATGACTACACAGAACTGTGAGTGGAAACAAGCTGTCTTCCTTAGAAGGAAAAGCTTACTAATTGTTCTGGAAGGATTTACTGGTCTCCTTTACATAAAATGTGTAATTCTACTCAAAAAGAACAAGAAACTTTCAAATTGGAGCTGTGCTGTTGAACGTTGAAAGCATTCTCAGGGCTGTCTGCACTGAACACTTCAAAGCTCACTGGGCAACTCTAGGCTTGCCAGAGGTTAGGGGTGCCTACTCTGATGTCCCGAAAATGAACTTTTGGAAGTCATCAGGGCAGTTTGTTACCTTTGGGAGACCTAGATTCAAAGGACAGAAAGGCCAAAATGTATCCCACTGAAGCTGCAGCAAACTATCACTTTCATTAAGATATCTCAGCTTTTGAGATACAAAATGCTGTAGAGTCAAAGGTTGGTCCACTTCTTCACAGAATTACTCATAAACAAGGAAACCCTGCGTTTATCTTGAAGTTCCTCTTACAGATCTTGACTGATTGTCTTCCTAGAAAGATCTGTAAAGAGGTATGTTTCTGGTGGAGAAAAAGGTCACCCTCCAGTACTGGAGATTTGTTTTTATTGTCCTTCCTGTTTCTCCTTCTGCTCCCTCAAATACCAATTGAGGTTATTTTATCAAGAACTATTTTGGATTATTGGATCCATGTTAAGCATTTTTGCTCACTTGTCATAACATTTTTCCAAAGCACCCAGGAGTACTGAGTATAGGATGGGTTCTGCCTTGGCAGTTACGTTGGGAGACCTCCAGTAATTCTCCTTTCCTTCATTTTGTTGTCATTCCCATCCTTTCTTTTTCAGGTAGCATTTATTGACTAGTCCATTTAGTTTTTTGTGTTTCTTGTTTTTTTCTATAACAGTCTTACATTGTGGGAATTTTACTTGTTATTTTATCCACCAGCTGAACAGGGCCCAACACAAAATATTTATCTTCAGTTGTAACTAAAACTGCTATTTGGCTTTCTTTCAAAACCCAGAAAGACAATTATACCTAACTGTTTAGAGATTTATAAATACTGTACCAGAGTAGCCTCTGGGTAGTAACTTTAGATATCCAACTCAATAATTTTCTTTTATTGGA